GGGGACACATTTTATGAGTGAGCGATTCTGCTTTCTACTTCTATTACATTACATTTAAAATTATCGCGCCAGCATTGTATTGAAAAATGTATTATGTACTTAGTTCTAAGCTTTGTTTTGAGTAAGAAGCCAAAAATAATGTTACTAACTGAGTAACAAGTGTAGTCAGTTACGCCAATAATACGGAAGTAAAAAAAAATCCGCGCGGCTCGCACACACGCAGAACTGACAAGAACCTCACAGTCTATCTTTTAATCGCTTAGTTTCATATAACAAGTACACTATATATTATATTATCAGGTTGATATTTTCGTAAAAATCGAGTATTTTTACTTAATCTTTCCTAATATATAATATTACTCAACAAAACATTAACTGCAATTCGAGATTTTCCCGCTATGCTTGTGTTTCAGCAATCTGTTGCACGTCTACGGCTCGTAGGCTGCACGCTTCGTAGTATTGATCGTAGCGGCTACGTCGTAGCACTCTGTGGGATATAATGACTTACTTTGTTTTTAGAGATCATTTGTTTTATCTTTATCTGTGTATCCTTTTGTTTGTTACAGTCTTAGCACTTTTAGATGTAATGTATATTTAAATTTATAAACATCTCGACGAGTGTATAAGCCTACCTATGTTTACCTTAGTTTTTTATCATATAGATTTAATATAAAACTTAATTATTCTTTACAATAATACAAACATTATACTATCATTGTAACCAATAGTCCCTTTTATGTGTTTTACGTTAACGCTTAATGTGCAAAAGTCATAATACCCTCATATTGCAAAAAGTCAAAATAAATGGAAGATTTCGTTAATTTCAAGACCATTTTCCTTTTTTGCTACATTTTCAACCTTCTCATATTGAGGTAAGATTGATCCGACAGAAGCCTTGTACGCTGTTCCTTTGATTTATCGTCCCCATGTTGGCGACTGACCGAGGGGATCATTAGAATGTTATTAACGGGGTCAAATAACGCAGTGTGTCATGGCCAGTGAGAGGCATTTTACAAACTTTTTGTTCGCGTTTCGCTGTTAGCTTTGCCTGTGTGGTTTGAAACATTCCGTAGCTATACATCAATGTTAATTATACGTTGACAATACATGTATTGTTCCTGCATTCTCAACTATGACTTATCTTTAGTTAGCCGTAGTTAAAATAAATTTGACTTCCGAACATTCAAAGCCAAATAGATCGACGTCGCATCTTGTTTAGATGTTATATGCTGCGGTATTTTTTTAATATGTTAATAAGTTTAACTACTACATTTAGCATTTTACACAGTTGGAAGTATTTTATTTAAATGTACCACTTGCGTACGCTACAGACAGTAAATTTATCATGTTTGAAAATAAATCAGGGTTTTTATCTATACTCGATACAAAAATTTTAATCGTCAATTGTGGGTTTCTTCTCTATGGGGCACTAAACGAGCACGTTTCTTAATTTGTTTTGCTGCTCCGCTCTATTTGCTGTTAAAAGTAGCTAATCAGACTTCTTTGCTTTGCCCGACCAAACCTTTTTGTGTTATGCCCGAGATTCTAGTCGATTAAACGGGTAGAGTGGTCATCTTATCTCTCTTAACAAGCGGTTTTATCTTAATACCAAATAGTTTATAAAATATTGGAGCGAATCGATCACACAGTAATAATTGTACGATATCGTTTTGTATAGGACAAATCAAAGTTATTCAATCACTTTGTGTTCGAGGCAGTAATTACTTCTCGGTAAAATTTACAAGTTAAATAAATTATTAAATACTGTCTGTAGTTTACGCAAGTAGTACACATTTATATAAAACACTATAACGGTTTAAAACGCGATATATCTTAGTTAAACTTGTTAAGAAATTATTATTTTAGCGACGTCAATAACCACGGATGAACCGTTGGCCATAATACTATTTAATTAATTTAATATTGCCGAGTTTAAGGCAACATCGATAATAAGAAATATCGATCAAATAACATAAAAAAAGAATAAAGGAAGAGGGATAAGGGAATTTATTTTACTAAAATAAGTAACTTAGTGTTGTAAAGAATAGGTCCGTTTAAAATTTCCAATATTCGCTTAATTAATAGTTTAACAGCATACATATAATTATGCTAATATTATTATATTGTAGTGAATAAAAAACAAAGGCCTATGGCGACCTCATTACGCAAGACAAATATTGTTCTAAACTGTAACATTAACAATCATAACATGAAAGCATTTGCGTATGATGAGAACGACTAAATAATTCAGAACCCACCCTCCATGCCTTATAAAAACCTGTTTATATATGGATTACGTGGGTAGAATTAGAGCTTAATCTGCTGACTGTATATTTTTGTGCGCGTGGGTTTAAAAGCTACGATTTTTTTTTACTAATTTTGATCATAACTACTCATAATTCAATATTGTAGAGAGTAAATATTATGTGTAGGTAACGAAGTAGTATATATTTAAATAAAACACTTTTAACCGTTTATAACGCGAAATGTTTTATTTAGACTTATTTCCAATCTAGCTGACCACATTGCTGCAAAGCATCCGAAACTTCGGGCTGTACTTAAAATAAATGTGAAAATAACTTATACGTTTTGCGTTTTAAGCCGTTAAAAGTGTTTTATTTACATTATTATGTGCACTACTTAATAATACACTACTACTACTTAATAGTACACATCCTTGTAATTTTAATAAAAGCAAATACTTTTTCATTAAGTTTAAAAGTAAAAATTAAGTTTTAATTAAGTTTAAATATCGCCTTATGCATCTTGTGACTTCCAAAACGGTTAATGCCGTTAGTCCAACAAAATTACTTTATGCCCGCTACAAACATCTATAACGTTAAGGAAATAGTGTTTGTAACGAGGAAAATTCCCAAAGCAAGAATTTCCTACAACATGCCCCCAGCTTCTGTAAGCGAAATATAACTCCAGAGGGTATGCTTAAAAACAATTTTATTTCAAGGGCGAAGACCTCTATCTTGAATATAGATAGTTCTATAATAAAAATTATAACATGTTATAATCATGTTATAATTTTTATTATAGAACCCCGCCATTTTATAGTTCCTAACTTTGACACTCGTGGTGCTGCTCTCTCTTGCTTGTAATAGCACAACAATTGTTGAAACTAAATATATAATTTAAATACAACCACGCCTAATGCTTCACTTCATATATTCTTGGATTGTGATGTGGTGGGTATTATATAAGAAAAAGTAATACTTTTTATTCCAAACCATGTCTTTAAATGGATAATTTGCACACTAGAGGTAGACACTAGATTACCTTTATGCGTTTTTATATTCTACATCCTCGTCCCCATTTTAAGATTTTTAAATAAAACTACAAATAAATAAAGACCAAAGTCAAGTTATTTAGGAGTGACAGTTTTATCTTAATAATGTTTATCTATTACCCTCCAACTCCGATTGTAATAGATATCCATCCCCCGTAAATCGTCCCTCCAGCACTAAGCCCAGGGACCGCAGACTATCCGGGTGTGAATGCCGAACACGGAATGTTCCCGGGGATTACTAGAGTGACTCCTCACCTCCCTCGGCCGAGATAAATGGCATTCTATAATATTCGCGTTCCGATACAAACATAGTGCCATATTTTTGCCTAACGCTATTTAATTTTGGTTAAGATTATTTATTTTAAAGAATAAAAATAATAAGAAATAGAATTGTATTTATTATGTGCTTCTTGTTTTGTTTAAACACTGTGTATTGAGACTTTGGTCTAGATTCAATTTTGTGGTGGTATAAGTTTTTTACAAGATCTAATCTTTTCAACAACTTATAACTTTCAATTAAAACACTTTAACGGTGTAAAACGCGATTGAAATTTGAATTTAACTTATAACTTCTCACAATATATATATATTTGCTTTAATGAACATTATTTAAAAAAAAGGTATAAAGGAAATAAGCCTTAATATCCTCATTGTTAATAGGAATTTTCAATATTCCGTATTCCCATAGCAATTATGTCAAATCGAATACCTCCTGAAACTATTAGAAGCTTTGTATCTCCGTTGAGATTACATTGTGTCGGATTTATCTGATATTTTTCTATGAAATATAGAATTTCTCTGAATACGCGAGATTCCTGGGGGAATGGGTAGCTGCTGCCAGCGATTTGAAGGCGAATGATCTTATATTTATTGCCTCCTACCTGCTACGGTTTTGTGTGGAAATTGCGTCGTTGGTGGCAGGAATACAAACATTTTTTCGCTTCATGAACTACCGTCCACAGATGAAGAAGTGCGGTTTTCCAAATATCCAAAGCCAAAATAGGTCGACATCGCATTCATGTGACTGGCCTATTGCAGCTTCCATCAAGTGAACTCCATGCTTGTCCTTCTCTCTCATGAAAAAAATCCTACTAATATTATAAACGCGAAAGTTTGTATGTGTGGATGGATGTTTGTTACTCTTTCACGCAAAAACTACTGAATGGATTTCAATTAAACTTTCCAATAATATAGCTTAAACATCAGAATAACACAATTTATATAGATATTGTGTGAGATGTCCAAAATATGACATTAAGTGTGACTAGGAAAAAAACTACCTTACTGCGAGCTATTCTGGCGTACGCTGCCACAAACGTTAGTTACACATAATTATGTAATGTATGATATGATAGACATAATTTAGTTTAAATGCGCGATACTACGTAATCCTAATCCTAATTTTGCGTAGACGAAGTCGCGGGCACCAGCTAGTATATTATAATTTATCATATAAAATTATTACCAAACTTTTATCATCATATTATTTTTTACTGGTGTCTGCCACTATTGCCAGTATTGTGTGACGTCGAAAAGACGTAGACGATGACCTTTCTTAGGATTATTGCATTGGTTACTCTTAGAAAAACCTTTTTCACTTTCACAAATTTTGAACCGCAAATTGGTGGGTGCAAAGGAAGTAATGTTTATTGTTACTTTCGTTTTATAATACCATGGCTCTTATATATTAATTTTGTTGTTTCAGGGCGAAAAGGACAACGGAAAGAACTGTATACTGTCATGCGAGAAAAGGAAAGCCGATGACACAGATATTAATAAAGATCTAAAGAAGGTTAGTCCTTACTTTACATACATAGCTATAAAGTCAAAAGTCAAAAGCATATACAATCACTATGAGATCGATATAAGAAGTGCGAAGTTTACTCTAGCGGTATGTACACATTTAAATAAAACACTTTAACGGTTTAAGACACGACATATCGTACTTAAACTTATTTGAAAATTATTTTTAACTACGTCCCGACGCTTCGGATGCTTTGCAGCAGTCGTGGTCACGGGAAGTCTTCCGCGTTGCGTCATATCGCGTTGTAAACCGTTAAAGTGTTTTATTTAAGAGAGGTTTCCTTTCGTGTGTATTGTATGTATGTCGTCACGTTTAACAAAACGACTTTTATATAATGCTAATGAGAACGCCCTTCTTTTGTTTCTGACATGGTTAATCCTGATGTATCTTTCAAGTATCGGTGTTTAAGTTTTCGTTCGCCAAAGAGTTAGCAACAGCTTCGTGTCCCCCCACAGTAAAGATGTGCCGATAAATAGAATTGCTTATGCATGCATCGCCCGCCGAAAGCGTGTGGGCTGCGATAAGACCGATATTGCTCCGTAAACGAATGTAATGGAGACATTATATTTGTACTATCCATTTACAACGTGCGTCTCAATAGTTTCTGTCACGCCATCGTGGCTCGCGCGATTATCGACCGTGTTACGAGGGCGGTAAAGATCTATATGCGGTTACACATACAGCTAATGGTGTGGGAGGGATGCCAAAGGGTGGATACGGAATGTTCGATGCGTTTTAGATTTAATTAGACGATGGCTAGTCAATGGATATTGTGTGATAAGAGGCTTAGGTGAGTCGTGGTAATGTATTGCTTTAATTTTGTTTACCCACAGTAAAGTTTAAGAGCTATTTATAATTTCATATGCATCAAGTACAGTAGTTAATAGGTCAACGGCGAATCTTGTTTAGATGTTATATTGCTGGGGTATTCACCTTCTATCAAGTGATGTTTGTCTGTCCTCTATCATAAAAAAACAGTAACATTAGGGACGTGTAGAATCGCCCTTATTTGACATTATGACAAGTATTTTTTGAACTAAGCAGAAACAAGTACATTGTTATATAAAATATACGTGTCTCCGCGTGCCAACGGATGCTGCAAAGCATCCGAAACTTCGGGTCGTTAATAAAAAAAATTGTAAATAAATTAAATTAATATATTTCGCGTTTAAAAGTGTTTTAATTCACGTCACGTCTACACGTTGGTTTCGAATACTCGAATAGTACAAATTACGATAAAAATCAATCATCAAGGGACGTAGTACAATATAGCACGAGTAAGACACGCAAAAGTTTCAATTGCATACATTCAGCGGCTTATTGCCAAATGCCCGTGTCATATTGGTGCAGCGCCAGACGGTGGGTACGATTGTCTTTACATACCTTGCGGTTGCGCAAGCTATTATCTAATATTTACTGTGATATAGAGATCATTCGAAGAATGTATGTAAAGTTAGTAATGGTAATAATGGTATTAATAATTGAATGAAATACTGTCTATATTTACGAGTAGTACACATTTAAATAAAACACTTTAACGGTTTAAAACGCGATATATTAGTTAAACTTATTTGAAAATTATTTTTAACTTCTGCCCGACGTTTCCCCGTACCACGGCTGCTGCAAAGCATCCGAAACGTCGGAAACTAATATATCCTTTTAAACCGTTAAAGTTTTTATTTAAATATTTAGCAACAAGTCTTGATTTTTTATCAATCAACAAGGTTTGATTCCCATCAAGTCCAATTTGTTAGTAATCAATTTATATTTTTCTCCAAGATGTTGGACTTCGTCTGAAAATCTGGGTATCTCAAGAACCTTGTCCACAGATGAAAAAGCCGTGAAATTAAATCGCATTTCGGTATCAGTCTGTTGATTTTCGGATAACCGAAGCCAAATAGAGCGACAGTGCATCTTGTTTCACATGAGACATGGTTACGGGGTTACACCTTCGATCAAGTGTAACGCATGCTTGTCTTCTATCGTAAAAAAGTTAAAGTAGCAATATATATTTATTGGATTTGTATTTTTGTCCGCGTATAATTTGAATGACACCAAACCTCAACTCAAGTCTTATAATACTTAGAAGCACAATATTAATAAAAGAAGTGAGTACCACCCCCGAAACTATAAGCTGATCAAAATAAGCCAGGATTATTTTTTAAAATCATTTTATTTTCGTTATCCTATTATGAAGGATTTACGCCCTTGACGGAAAATTGAAGGATCTTTTCTTTATGTAAATAGCTATTATAGCCGTTACTTAAATTTTATTATTTATACAAAAATTCTACATTAGACTAGGTTTTACAATGTTTTAAAAGTGGTAACAATTATAAAGCTATGTGCTTCTGGAAGTAATAAATCAAATTTGATGCGATTCTTATTTTTACAACCCACGATACCCCTAGGGTCGCATTCTCGAACGCTCGACATTTAAATCATGCGAAATGCGACGAAGCCTCATAAATTATTTTCATTGTTCTCTGCTCCGTTAGGAGACTAATTTCTATCTTCTCGACGATCAACTTTTTAAAAGACAAAATTCTGCGAACAACGTACTTGTTTAACCCTGTTTTTGGAAAGCGCTATGTTATTATTTAATATTTGTGTACTAACAAATTCGATCAGTTAACATTTTAATTAAGTACAATACACAAAAACAAATATTGAAATATCATATTTTATTTTTAAAGTAGATTTGTTTAATATCGGCAAAAATATACCAGAGTTTTAAATTTTATAGAGCGGTACTGATATATAATACAATAAAAATCGATTTTATAATATATCTTTTACAGTTTTTATGTAATACGACGTAAAGCAAATTTTTACTATTGTGTAATTTATCACCCAGTGATTACTTTAATCCGTGCATCGAATAACAGACGCTGACGCCTCAAAGGGAGTTTAAAAACATCTAAAACTTTACATCAGTTACAAATTCCGAATGAAGTAAGCAAACGGAAGGGAAATCCAATTAATGGCAACTTTTCCTTTGCCCTCTCCTGTCTGAGGGTCACTTTATTTTCATTATCCCTCCTGAAGGTCCTTTGCGAGATGTATTCGGCCCTTATTTAAATATATTGAGCTTTAAAGAACCTTTAATAAGGCTCCTGTTGAGTCCTACGAATACAGGGGTCATAGTTTTCTTTCGAATTAATTATGTTAACAAAAGGTATAATCCAAAAAATAAATAGTTTATCTTCTATAGGTATTAAAACACATATAGTGTACGTTCGTACATCTCACTATGAAAACGAGGACATTAATTAGGAATTATTGAAAGTCAAATTACAAGTGTTGAACATGTTTTTGTTTTTTCTTCTCTATATTCACTTAATAAACACACAAAGATGTAAAAGCTACTTGTTAATGTAGTTGCAGATAGCCTAGTATGGAAATAAAACGAAAAAGTTAAAGTAAGCAACAAAATGCTGTCTGTCAGCGGAGCTAATGAAAGACGAATTTACGCGCGGCGTTAAAACAACTATTACATTTGTACCGTACGATCCCTCGCGCACCCGTCAAACTTCTGGAATGAGTAAAAAGCTCATAACAACGCGTAGATTGTTTCGTTTTGAAAACTTTTCTCATCTCGTCCTCCGAGCGTTGCCTCAACTTTTTTATAAGCGATTCTTTCGAACAATCCGCCCGATGTTACGACGATCCAATACTCCATACTTTTCACTTCGCCCGTTGGCACTCCGCGGGCTTTATTGCGATTATTATGATAACGGCGCTCCGGCGAATGGTTTCGTGAATGAATTCTGCTTCAGCTGAATGTTATGGTGGAGATATTTGATCGTTTGCAATATAGGCGCAAAGGAAAGCTTCGAAAGATTCTAAATTTAGGGCGGTAATACGTCCTGGCTGTAGTTTAAACTAGAGGAACATTACAACAAAACTGTTTTAAACCCATTCAGTTGCCGTGAAGCATCCGAAACGTCGGGTCTTATTATTATTAGTAATTAATTGATTGGGATAATATTTTTTTTATCGTTATTAAATATGATGTTATTGTTTGTTACAGGCGAAACTAGAGACGAAAGCACTGAAAGCCAAAAGGCCGGGATTCACAGACGACAGATATAATGAAACATCATATTACATGGAAAATGGTGAGTCTCAAAATTAGATAATCTACGCATATAATAACAAAATAATTTAATGAATAAGTAGTAGGGGTTTGATTGAATATATGGACGTGGAGACTGCATATGTTATTGACAAGGAAGAAAATGGAAACAAGAAAAAATTTAAATAAAACACTTTAACGGTTTAAAACGCGATATATTAATTAAACTTATTTGAAAATGATTTTTAACTTCGGCCCGACGTTTCGGATGCTTTGCACATTGCAGGGGGGGGGGGGGGGGGGGTCTTAATTTTAAAAAAAGGGCGTCACGGGGAGACCACGGCTGCAGGCATCCGAAACGTCGGGCCGTAGTTACAATAATTTTCAAACAGATTTAATAATATATAAATCGTCCGTTAAAGTGTTTTATTTAAATGGGTTGTAAAACTCGGGAAAACTATAGACAGTATTTAACAAAAAAAAGCTAAATAAACAAACAAATGTAGTTAAATTTAAACAGAAGCTTACGTATATATGTGAATGCACACAAAGCAAGACAGACCAGTGCCTAAAATGCGCTTCTTCTCGTAGTAGATGAAAATTTGAGTGAATCTTATTATCTATTAAGAAAATTTATGAGTTCTGTTGCACTGCAGAACGGAAAGCGAAGGAATCAGAAATATAAAAGCAAATTAAGTGGAAAATATGAGTCGGGCCACTGGACTCGAGCCAACTTCACCTGAGACTGCATTTTGTACTTCGCTCACTTGTAATAAAAGTGCAGTTGCTAGATAATTAATGTTATATGCTAATTTTTTCCACTTGTACAACATAAATATGTAAACGTTTTAATATAGATTTTATATAGAGGAAGAACAGAAAAGGTATTTCTCATAAAAATTAACCGCATTTTATGTGCTTTTTACTATCAAATTTGACTGCTTATCCTTGCATAGTATTTCTTAGTCAAATTTCAATGATTTAATAATCCTTAATCTAATAAACCAACATGGTAAAATTCATTCATGATTAAGTGCTATTCTTTATCCTATGAAAATAGCCCACGCTTTCAAAAAGCCAAAAATAGATTGGATTATGGCAGAATCACGTTTATTCGGGTTTTTTCAATTCAATTACCCTTCACTTCGAAGGAGGCCTATCAATCTTGTTAATGGTAGATCATCTTACTGCATTGCTGTAGTTTTAACCGCCAAGTTGCACACCTTGAAAGTTTGGGTAATAGAATGCGGGTAAAATTTGCTAATAATCGTCATTTACCGTTTTTGAACGAAACATAGTTATTCTTCAAGCATATTACAAATTTATAAAATGCTCAGATATTCTAATGGCTACATCGATAGCTCAGCAGTGAAATACATTATCAGGCTTTGTATTGAGCCGAGGGGCTTTGGTTCATATTCCCGGAGAACATAATAAGTTTTAATTACGCACTTATAAATAAAATATATTAGTAAAACAGAAGTCTTATGGTTACATACGTCACTTATGGAAGCAGGATCAGGTACAGTAAGTTTATGTGTCTAACCCTAACATCTGAATCGAAATCCTCAAATTGCAGGACTCAGGAAAGTATACCCATACTACTTCACATTCACCACCTTCACGAAAGGCAGATGGGTCGGCGAGAAAATCCTCGACGTCTTCGCGAGGGAGTTCAGGGCGCACCCCGCGGCCGAATACGAAAGGTGCATCAGGGCTGGCACCCTCACGGTCAACTACGAAAGGGTCGACCCCGACTACAGACTCAAACACAACGACCTTCTAGCTAACGTTGTGCATAGGTACTCCCTTCAGACATATCTTCGATAGCGATGCCAAAATTTGTAGATAGCTTCAGATAGATCAACACGAAACTCGATACATGAACATTGACACTCTGTCTCCGTATTAGTTTAGATCCGTTATGGTCCTGTTTATCCCTAACATATCTTCCTTAACTTGGGATAGAATCGATCGACGTATATGGAACATAGACGTTTACTAACCGAATGCTTCAATAAAATTTAAATTTGTATTACTTGTAAATACAGGCTTATTTGTTAAATTGTAAATTCAACATTGGGCACCGGACGAGCATGCCATTGCACTGAGCTTCTTGAAAACACAGATTGTGCGTACTGACATCGTCTACTGTGATCTACTTGCAATTTCACTATGTCTAATACCTTCACGTTGATTGTGGAGGATCCTGAACACTCACCATTTGAACCATCAGTGGATTGTTCTCTCTTCTTAATTATTACTACTTCTAATACGATTGAATGAGGAACTAATTAACATCGCGCTGGGTTTTCTGATGTTCGTGAAGCAACCTTTCGAACAGGTGAAGCTTTGTTTGATAGTTACCCAGATGCTCAGTGTACGCAAGGCTTATGGTCTTCAATAAACATCGTACAACGGATGTTTAGGAGACTACAGCCTTACTTCCAGCACGTGGATCGCTCGGTGATGAGTCTCCTGACCTGTGTATCGTTACAGGCACGAAGTACCAGTGACCAGCCAACCGATCACCCTCGTTCATATCGACGAGGACATAGTGGTTGTCAACAAACCAGCCTCTATTCCCGTAAGTGGCAAATGAGACAGCCATTTTGTTATGCTTTCTATCATCGTCTTTACTTCCTGCTGCATGCTTCTATTAACTTTAAGCGCTTGTGTATTTAGAAGGTAAGTTGTAAATCGTAGCTGTAGTACTTATGTAGTCGCATTAATGTCTCACATCGCTACACATTAAAGCTTAGCAAATGAGAGACTTCCACGACCTTTTGCATCGTAAAAAGTTTTGGAATTCGAACATTACATGACGTTAAAAGCACATAAGTCGCGGTTAGAATCCGCTTTCCTTGCAAAGCTTCAAAGTCCTTTGACGTATAAAGCGGTCCCTTTTGCAAGAAATATTTCGCTCCGTGATGGAGTGCCTTTAATAACGGCGCTTGTCACTTTCGTATCGACTTTAAGTGTGGGGGGTGTCTTTATTAGGATTTTGAGGCTGGGACTCAAATGTTTCATTGGGTAGAAGAAACATTCTTTTATGTTGATGATTTAAGAAATTAGGATTTCAATATAAACTTTTAAGATGTCGAGACTTTTTTAATCAGCTTTAATGTCTAGAATAAAATCAGCAAACGTTTTGCACAAACACAGCTTAAATCGATATAAAAGAAATAACATCGGTATGCTTGTCGAAATAAATCTAACATTTATCAATCAGCATAACCGAACAGTCCTCCAAACAACTTTAAAAAGCCACTGCAAATGCGCAAACAGCAGTCCAATGTCTCTTTGAGACTCAATAAGGTGATCAAATAAAATAACCCACTTTCAGTTAAGCTCGAAACACCTCTAAAATTCCTTTTCACAGGCGGCTAACGCAAACGGACGCTAGTTAAATTTTCAGACCAGTTTAAATTCGATAGATCAATGATTTCAGTCTGAAGGTTGGTAAGAATTTTCTATCTAGGATTTGAAATTTTTCTCTCATCACCGAAAAATATTGGGTGAATTATTATGCGTGTAGTGTGTTTTCAATTATAATCCCTAATCTATGTCTTATATTTTATCGACTTTATAAGGGCAATATTTTATTCAAATATAATTTAAACAATGTATCTTTACACTTTGGTAGTGCATTTATATGATGTTCTGGAAAATATTAATCATAACATTACAATTCAAAAACCCCACTTAACACCCGATAGACGTCAAAAGTCAAAACAAAATAGAGGATTGTGCAACTTAATTTATGCGCTAACAATGAAAAGAGGATAAAACCAACAATGATGTGTGGCTAATAATTAAAAAAGGAACATCAAACCGGTTCCTTTATAAAGAAGACATTGTATGATGGCTCCAATCGCTTTAAGAGGGTTTAGCGAAAGAATATACAGGTTGATTCATAAATCACAACTAATACACTCTGGAAAACGCAAACGCAACGAAACGGGGTATTTATTTTAAATGTTCATTTTCTTTCAATTATTTGTACAATTATACTGGTAAACAACCAAAGGCGGTGTGCTAGTCTGACAGTTTACAAAACATAAAAAAAACTTATTTGTTACACAAGTTTACATGAAACTAGAAGTAATAGAAGATATTTAAACATCTGCGGCCTGCGATTTGATCTTGTTTTTTAGGTAATTTATGTATTGGACTATACTGTCAGCTACCAATTAGTACGGGGTCAGAAAAGATAATGGTTCATGCATTAGGGCTAGTAGTATATAACCCAGTATACTATTGCCTTAATGCTAATATTACGAAAAAAAAAGTTATAAAGTCGGGGTTATAAACGAGGCGCGGACGGTGTCTGTCTCGAGTTTTAAAAGAACGCGCTGTATACAGCCGCGAGCGAAAATAAGTACAATATTGTCTGTTTCGCTGCGCTTATCAGCCGCCTCGGGGTTCTTTAATAAATTAACGTAATCAAGGAACGCATAATGATATAAAAAGCAAAGAAGCAACTTCGTGTATATGTCTCTGTTATTTATTATTTTGAGTTTACTGAATGATGGCGATTTTTATTCGTTAGCGATGTCGCGACTAGATGAAGCAGCGAGTATTTTAGGAGCCATTCGTTCACGTCAAAGAATATTAAACTTAAAATGCCTCAGTATTCTGATTACCTTTTTTAGCCATCAATTAAAATTGTTTAAATTTTTTAAATATATCTCATAAGAAGGATTAACATATAATAATAAGATCATTTGGTAGAAATTGACATTTTAGTAAAAATTTTATGTACATACTTTTTATCAGCTTTTCATTGCCGTCTTCAATTTTTCTGACCTTGATTATAAATAATAAATTTAAATTATTTCAATATTTTTCTATCTCATTGCGAAGCGACAATAAGACGCTATCGCAAAGTTAGCGCGAATTTCGTCTCCTCAGTGGTGCACCGCAAATGAACAGAAGGCAATAACGTTCTGAGTAACACGGCCGAGACAGATCAATTTGATTGATACAAGAATTATGTATTCGAAGAATTGGACGTGCCCCGTGATTTATGACGTGTGCTTGATAGTCGGAATAATTGCGAATCGCTCCAAAGGAAATTTCATTCTCTATAGCCATTATTTAACGGGCTTCAACTTTTGTTCATATTGCTAATTAACGGCGTAATCAGTTTTCAAATAACTCACTCGTAAGTTTTCTTACGTAGGAATTTTTATATCTCTTTTGTTACGATGGACCACAGACAAGCATCGATTGCACTCGATGGAAGGTGATGTACTCCATCTCAACAAAATTTCGGCTTAGACTTCACAGATTATTCTTTTGTGAATGGTGGTAGTGGCGTGACCCGGACGAAATATTGATATTCCTACTAATTATTCAATATCAACATTTCCAGTAGTAGTGAGGCTTCGTCTCATCAGATATTTCGGGAAAAATATATACATTGATTAAAATTATGCGGTGGTGATGGAAGTCACGACCTGTTGATTATTTACATTGCTACTATTAGACGAACGAATTATCTGAATATAATAAAAAATATTTAAATATTCAATATCTCGTACTTGTGATACATTTATAACATAGTAAAACATAGAAGTGTCTAATATTAAAATCTAAACGCCACAAGATATAAATCAAATTAATAGCAAAGTTAAATTTACTATCCTATATAGCCCAAATATAGCATAGCTCAAGCAACCCACTTTCCAAATGACGTCTGTAACTTTAAAACTGTTTAATTTTGCAAATCCCTTCAAATGTCAGTGATTATGTATTTACACAGATACGGCTTCTAAAAGGATTACGCGATCGCACACGACACCTGTTTGTGCTATAGCTATAGGTAGGAATGGATGCGATTTATTTCTGTGGGCGTGATATTATTCAATTATGCCCAATCTTATTATGTCAGAATAACAATTGCGTGGAAACAAACATTGCTGCTTAGAAATATTTAATCTGCAGAGTAATGTAGATGCGACTTTCAGACATCGATTCATACCCACATTCTACTTGCATCTGCATCTTTGACTTGAATCATCTTGACCCTGTTAGAATAGACCCCATATACTGAACACAAAACGCTGTGCAAAATAAAAATTTTGGCATATCTACAAACTTTTATCTACTCTATGTTTAATTTCTGATACACGTTTTTTATTTATTACATTATCTATGATATTATGGAAATAAAATGAACGTGTAAATAAATAAACGTTTGGAATAATAACATTATAATAAGGTATGAAGTGGTTGTGTAATCTCATACAGCGTTTGACGGGGCGAAAAGCAATTTTATAACCCTTATGTCTCCAAGTCCCCCGCTCCAACTTTCGGTCATGATGAACTTTGCCCCCTTTTTCTGCCGCGTCAAACGCAGAGTTGAGCAGGCACTCACTTCGTACTCACTTTGGGCCAGGCACGAGACCCCAGTGCTCGCTTGTCCCTTGCGCATCATTTACGCTGACGAGGACCTTCTCGTGCTAGACAAGCCATGCTCGTTGCCGGTGAGTCTTACTTACACCTTGAAGAGACTGGGCTAGCATGCAGTCGATTTGTTCAAACGATTTACAACATTAAGTGCTCGATTTTAACGCTTCAATAGGACTAAACGAAAGTCAAAACATCTTTGGCAGTTGTACACGAGAATTACTCTAGTGTAATGCAAACCGATTATTACCTTTATTTTAATATTCACATCAATTCAAATTCAATTTCCGGTACAAAAGGTAGTACATATTTTACACGTTAGTAGTAAACCTAGGCGCACATAACTTTTCCTTATAAACTTTAGAGTCGAGCATTTAAAATTAACTTTTTAAAATCATATAATTGGTTTGAGACAAGGATTCGACTTGCATGCGTTATTTGAAGTTAGAAATGTGGTCTAATCACATAAAACCCTCAGTTAACGTGGTGTTGTGATTCTCATGAATTTCTTTATACATAAAATGTAGTACATGTGAAAATTAAATAGGTATACAAATTAGGAAACATGTAATGTTACTTTAAATAACAACATACAGTAGCTAAGTAAATGGAAAAATTCGAATATGTACTGAAATGAAATTTTTCTATCCAAGTGAGCAAACTGCCAAAAAAACACACGTCTAAAATGTAACATTTTCAGTGCTAAAATGGCGCCGGAGCAATTATGATGTCTCCAGGTGACGCTTAGGAGTAACATGCCATGTCATGTAAAGTGGCATAATGCTTCACCTTTCTCAAAAATGTTTCAATTTTATACACATTTGCAGAGCTTATTTCTTAAATGTATTTATTATTTGTTTCGTGTTGAGCATATTTTTTTCTATAATAGCAGTGACTCTTAATCATAAAAATTATATGTATAGAAGTACAATTCTGTTCATTATAATAAATTATGCCCTTCGCTAGTCTTATACAGTCTACGAATTCATTGATTACCGATATTTTAAAAAGCAAGAATCTCGAATGGAATTTTAAAATGACTAGTCTCCTATATTTATCGTCACTCGCTGCATTGTCGAGCCAAAATTGGATCTATGCAGAACTTGTACAAAAAGAAAAAAATGTCATATTTAATCTGAAGAAGGTTAAGAAGTTATTTTTTAATGTGTAATTTATTTATTAAGATCACTCCTATAACAATTTGGTTTACACTACTGATACCGTGTCGTTTATTTATCATTTTTTATTAATTTACCCGCAAATTTTTAAAATAAATGTATTATTTTTATTATATTATTTTAGTCTATTTTCTGAAACTTAGTGAAAATCTATTTTGCCTTGAGGATAATTTGAACATCTAGCTTGTTATACGTGGTAATACAAAATTATGTCATATGTCGTCTCATACATATAGTTCCGTGTTATATCATAAATTATATGCATCAACATACTACGATCACCATATCCATCACTATTATAGTAAAGACCACTCCGCCTTATGAGTTTGCACGGTACTTCAATCATCAGATCAAACAAAATCCTTTATCCCGCTTCTAGTATGCTTCGCTTATTTAACTCACCGGCTTGTGTTAACATTGCACTGTTTAAATTAGTATTTATAAGGTTATTGAAACTATATCACTATATTTTGTCTAATATAGGTGTCGCATAATTTACGCTCTTATGGCATCTTTTTCCAAATTAAAGGTATAACCAGCCCAAATTTTTTAATTTTCAAAATTTCTAAATAAATAAAAAATTAACGGTTCAAAACGAGTTTATATTAGTTAACATATTCATCTTATATTAGACAAAATATAATAAATGTAATAAGTATAATAAACCTAAAGAATCATCGATTATTAAAGTAAGGCCATTTATTACCAGCCGGTAAGTAAATAGTAATAAATACCCTAAGTAAATCACTCAATAATATTATATATGCAATATTTGTATCGCATTGTTTAATTCGTTAGTAAGTATATTTTAATTTGCCTTCAGAATTTTATGGCGTCAGTAAAATGAATTTATTTTCACTAAGAAAATAGTATTGCATTTTGTGTTACTTCAAAATTTTGTCGACTGAGCCTCTTAGGTTTGTAGAATGATAGTTGTGTAATAAGTGTATTATTGATAGTAATTCTGAATCCCAAAGCATACAATCAATCTTCCATATATAGATATAAATTATATCCGACTGTCTGTCCCTAGTACCTAAAGATTATATTCTGCCAATGTTAGTGGTCTGATGTCCAATATGCTCATAGGTGCATCCCTGCGGCCGGTACAGGCACAACACCGTCGTATTTATCCTGGCGAAGGAGTACAACTTGAAGAACTTGAGGACCATACATAGACTCGACAGGCTGACGTCAGGTGAGTTGAGCAAATACATGCGCGAGCGCATTACTGTTTGCGGTAAAGTTAACATTAATCTTGATCGATATATATTTACACATTGTATAATAGTAGTATTTTTGTTAAACCACTTTTATTTGGGGTAAAAAAAAAAACCCCGGGGCCCAAACCCAAAAAAAAAAAATTTTTTTTTTTTAAAAAAAAAAAAAAAAAAATAGGAAAAAAAATTTTTTAAATGTAATATATCAAGTTTAAACTTCGATTTAGCCTTTTTAATCTAATTTTAAATTCTCTATACAGTTGATAAGATTCCGCGCAAGCCAAAAATAATATTTCATATTCCAATAGCTTTCGGATGATAAGCCCAATTGTAACAAAAGCGTATTTTTAGCGTAGGTAAATAACAGCGTTATTTCGATCGGGTTTCAATAGCAATCTCATCGGTTTGTATTCATTGCGGGTCGCGGTTTGATCCTTTGAAAGCCTTTGGGTGCGCTCTCGCGGCGCGGACGATAATGGACCGAACTTTAGGCCGCTTGCAGATTGAACAAATGCATGTATATATATTATAAAAATCCTTCGTGTATTATTTTAGGAAAGATAAGACCTGCAAAGGAGAATTCTCGTGATTTTAAGAGTTATTTTTCAGTCGATTTGTGAGGCATACAAGAACAAGAAATAAATACTTTTTTTATGTACATATGTATAATAAAAAAAAAACATGATTTTCAATAAGGAGGAAAATAAGAATGGCCATATAATTAGGGCGAAAATGAATTTGTACTATTATCTGTGTAAGAATTATGTTAACAATATTCGGTCACTTTGTTCTTGTAGATTATCATTTTTAGATTATGATAATATAAATAAATCAAGTTATAAAATTTGCAGTTAGGCTACTCTGCCTCCAGCGCCCTCATATAAACGGAACATTTTCGTGATTTTGAACGTTAGTTGAGTCAAGTTATCAACAACATATTTATCTATAATAAAATGTATGTTGTGTTTTCGTCTAGGGTTTTCCTGAGAGAGTTTCCTTTTTTCTTTTGAAATGGACCAAACAGTTCTAAAATTCATGAGTATTCGCACACATCAATAGTGACATACAGACCACAAGTGACCACTAAGTCACCCGAACGTAATGATCACTTGTGTAACATGCAAACGAACTTAATGGAGTGTAAATGAAGCCTACTTAATATAAAAAAAAAATATGTTAACAGGTTTCTTTTGGTAAATTTTATAGAAGGCGTTTAACGACTTTATTAATATATCCACTACTTATTTTTAGTCATAGCACTGTTTACTATCTGTTTGTATTATATCCAGGTCTTCTGCTATTCGGGAGGAGTCCAAAGAAGGCGAGACAGATGGAACATCAGATCAGGAATCGGCAAGTGCAGAAGGAGTACGTGTGTAGGGTGGACGGCGAATTTCCCACGTAAGTGTAAATGCAATCCTGAAATTACTACATCGAATTACAAAACCTTAATAATTTTATGATTATAACATTATTAAAATAAAATTGTTTATGTACAATCAATTTAAAATAATTGTATATGAAATATTTATTGAAAGCTCGAACTTTTTTTTATCTAATACATATATAAAATTCTCGTGTCACGGTGTTCGAACTTGAACTCCTCCGAAACGGCTCTACCGATTTTCACCAAATTTGGTATGTGTAATCAGTAAATCTGAGAATAGTACAACATCATTTTTCATCACCCTAAGTGATAAGGGTTGTTCACCCTTACATTTTTATTTTTTAGACAAAATTTTTAATTTCTATTTTTTTATGATACAACATACAAAAATACATACAATCCTCAATTTTCACTCTTATACGATCAACCCTTATTTTTTAATAGACATTTTAGTAAAATTATTTATATGGCAAAACAACATTTGCCGGCTCAGCTAGTAATTATATAAGTTTGTTTAAATTTAAACCAGAAAATAAGAAGTCGAATTTACCCCTAGATAAAACCAATATTTTAACTACATATTTACAAATCAATAATAAACGTATTAACCCTTATACGAAGGTGAGGTGAAACGCATAGAAACAGTGCGCTATTAGTTACAATTTATCAGCGTAACTAGGTGCGCTGTAAGTCCACCATCTTGTTTGCGTATATTCGCGTAGACAGGACATAATTTGAGGGCTTAAATCTTGTCGGACGACGTCATGGAAGATTTAATGCGTTACCATTAGTTGATTACATATTGTGTGGCTGACATGTTGATATTAATTGCACTAGACTAGTTGCATATACAACCGAAATACCTGGATTACAGTTTGATTTGATTTGCGGTTCGATTTCACTCGTAATTTCAACTTTACAAAATGTCGATCGGTAGCTCATACCCCAATTCAGTTTTAAAACGTATTATGATGACTATTATTTGTGTAAGAAATATGTTAACAGTTTTCGGTCACTGTGCTCTTGTTAATTAACATTTTTCGACTATGAAAATAATTAAGTCAAGTCTAAAAATTGCAGTTAGACTACTCTACCTTTAGCGGCCTCATATACACATTATGTAAATTTTAGGATCAAATTATAATAACCCTATTTTGTTAGCGATGTAAATCCGTTGATTTATCGGTTCGTAAGTTGATCTGACATTCTAAATAATATTACAAGTATCAGTTAAGATGTACCCTTTACAGCCTCGCAACAATTGTTCAACGCATAATCAACCGTTTATTGTCCCGAACGGTCGGTTAACTCGTCAAATCGCAAATCCCTTCAATTATTCCGTAATTGACGGCTTAAATTATGCATCGTGATTAAAGGAAAGCCACACAATCGCCACACCTCGCTTATCGATCGGACGCAACGGGAATATCTTAGCGCAATTAGCATTCATGTACCGACAATGTGTCTCTAATCATCTAATGCTCTCACTCCGCTAATAGGTCAGACTATTATGGAGCCAACAAAGCTTCGTCCTTCGCGATTCCATTCATATAGGGCTTTTGTTTCAACGCAGCTAAGTGTTTGCACCCTACTTCCATTGTCATTGTTGTGAGCATTTCGCATTTCATTTTATTCGACGCTGATATTAATTAGCCGTGCTGCGTAACGGGTGTAAACATTAATAAGGAAGATAAACCCGGCCGCATAACATCTAAATAAGATGCGCCGTCGACCCATTTTGGTTTTGTGTATTCGGAAATCTACAGACGGAAACCGCAACTCGATAAAACTTGACGGCTTCTTTAAAAAAAAAAAAAAAGGGGGGGGGGGGGGGGGGGGGGGGGGGGCAAAGGGGGAAGTTTACTTATTTTTCTACGACCCGACGATTGAAAACAACCGTAAATTTAAATGTGTACTAATACAGACAATACTTATGAAGTTTTTTTAATAAACAAATGAGCGAGAACGACACTATCTCTTCTCAAACATTAATGCTAGTTTATAAAACTTGGGCTACTGAAAGAACTTGACACGAAAAACGTTTAATTTTTGTAATAAAAAGTGGTAATAAATTAGATTACTTTATTATTAATTTAATTTCAGTGAAGAAATTGAATGCACGGAACCGATAGAAGTCGTCAGCTACAAGATCGGCGTGTGCAAAGTGTCTTCGAAGGGCAAGGATTGCTCGACGATCTTCAAGCGTCTCGGCTTCAACGCCCGGAGCAACACCAGCGTGGTGCTGTGCCGCCCGAAGACCGGCAGGATGCATCAGATCAGAGTGCATTTGCAGTACTTAGGTAAGGACATAATTTATTAGTGAACACGATGCTTGCCTGTCCTCTTATATAAAAAAAATAATAATGTTTCAATTACTATAGACGTCACGATAAACTTTTGAAATATGTTAAAATTACAAAAACATATTATTTTCAATGTAAAATTAAATTGCCGACTATGATTCAAAATTTATTAGAAATATAAATCAAGTTAACTTACCCCATCGGACCCCATTCTAATGAGATCCCCTTATTACGCGCCTCAAACGGCCGTTTGGGTGAATAAGAAATGTATTTTATACAGAGTACACTAATCCGCTTTAAGAGTAAGGATTTCGTAGTTATTTTTTCGTAAGCCCCTCTAAAAGTTTCGCGAACTAACGTAGCGATCACAGTTTATATAATAAGCAGTTGGAGAATGTTGACTTGAAGTTGAGTGTTCCCGTTTTTCTTACTGGTTATATTACGTTTGCATTACCAAATGAAAATGGATTGTATATAACTACTTTAAATTCTTGTTCTATAGATGTAAATATTAGGCACATTAAATGATTATCCTTTATAATAAGGACTTAGAGTTTAATAAACTTTATTAGCTTCGCAGTGCAGCCGTAAAGGTGTCATACATTTTGTTACAAATATTTCATGAGAAATGTTCATTATTGAGAGGCAAAAAAAAACAGTTATCCATATTGAAATTTATTCAGACACATCTTAAATTATTACTACAGTAAGCCTTGTACACGACGAATAGGCACCACGAACAAAATAAAGATAAAAATGTCGATCCAATTTTTCCACTCTGCTAATAATAATTTCCAACTGTACTCGACACGAACTGTGCCAACGCTAGTCATATCCACTAAAGAACTCTTTTTGTATGCAATTATGAAGTCCGAATAGTTGGCGAAAAAGTTTCAACTTTCGTGTTGCCAATTTTCATTTTCAGTGCTTGTTAAAATTTCTTTTTTAATTTTTACCGCTGCTTTTCACAATGCTCCGACTCGCGACCACTCGCGGCCGACGTTTTTTTTAATATCCAACAATACCTGTTTTCCCAGTTTCGTCATATACATTTTTTATTCGCTTTTTCGTTTGGATGCATGGATTTGCTTCGTGAGTTGATAATTCTGTAAAAAGAAAATCAATATTTCTTAGGGGTGTACCATAGAAAAATTGATACTAAATTTAACGGTTAGGGTAGGTAAGTTATTTGCGTTAACAACTTCGTACAAACTCAACACACTTTTAATTTTGATTGATAATATTTTAATAAATTTTTTATATTATATATCAAACGTGTTAAAAAACAGATACGTAGATTGATGTAACATATTAAATAAGTAGAGTTTAGTATTAAATTGGATCTGTAATTAATATGTAAATACTATCTGGAAATTTAAAAACGTCTGTTCCTATTTCACTTCAGATTTGTGAATAACGAGTTTGAGAGTTGTGAAGTTTAAAACGTTTCTTTGATTTGGTTTCAGAAATGGTTACGTAAATTAAAAAGTTTGAAAAAAAAAACAAAAAATGTTTGTTGTTGTAGGTTTTTTAAACTTTTAATTATTTATTTAATGAACCTTTCTGTCAACAGGATATCCTGTCGTAAACGATCCGCTATACAACCATCCAGTATTTGGTCCGCTCCGTGGCAAGGGTGGTGACACTGGAGGCAAATCTGATGAAGAGCTAGTGAGAGACCTCATCGCCATACACAATGCTGAGAATTGGCTTGGCGTTGACGCGGCTGATGATGACATGCTTTTCTCAAAGCCACCGACGGATGATAAAGGTATGAACAAGTCGAAATTGATAGAATCACAAAATCTAAACTTCTAATGATTTAAATTGATATAATTGCAAGTAATAAAGCGATTTCTTTAATTAAATACTGTCTGTAGTTTACGCGAGTAGTACACATTTAAATAAAGGCTTTAACGGTTCAAAACACTATATATATGTATATTAGTTAAAACGGGGTGTTGTTAAAATAATTTTCTAATAAATTCCACTAATATATATCGCGTTTTAAACCGTTAAAGTGTTTATTTAACTATCATTGACGGTTCTAATGTTTTTATTATTAATTAATATATCTTGTAAGTAACTTACAAGATATATTCAATTGTTGTTTTACGAAGAAAACCTATTTATATTTACTACAGTAGGGGAAGACGAATGTGATCCTGGACTAGCATCCAGGGAATCGTCACCTAGACTGGAGTCACCAGCCCCCGGGATTACTCCATCTACTGTTATGACTCGTAAGTTTAATAAATTTCACCAATATTCTGAAAGCTTCAAGAAGAAAATCTGTTTAATTCTGAATAAAGAAATTTTAATACTATTGTATAATTTGCTATAGTTATTACATTGTCTACTCTATCGATTTATCCAGCTACCCTCCCGAGTCCGTCGAGCGGTTCCGAAGCTCCAGCGGACGAGGCGTGCAACATATCACACTCACCCATTGCTTCGCCACACTGCAACGACGATTCCAGCGATGCCAAGGTACTTTTCTATCTGTCGCAGTCTAAACTGATTGTACGTCTACGTCATTGTGTAGGACCACTAGTCCTAGAAAAAAAGAGTAATGTAATATCAATTGTATGATAATTTAACACACAACCATTAATTAACAAGGTTTTAGATAGGCTTTGTGAAAATACACATTTCACATATCTAAATGATTCGATATTGAATTTAAACCTAACATTTAAAAATTCCTTACAGTCGGACAAGGTGACCGTCGCGACCCAGACGGGCTGCAATCCACCCCTAGCCCCACCCCAGAGTGGGTCTAGCCCCACGACAGAGGCCCTGACCCCCGACCCTCACTGTTACGAGTGCAGAGTGAGATACCGAGACCCGCGCCCCAGGGACCTCATCATGTACCTACACGCCTGGAAATATAAGGTATAATCTAAATGCTGTGGATCTGTATGTGCAATCGTGTAGTAATGCTTATTTTAGGCCACAAGCGGACAATGCAAAACGGGTTTACAGAAAATTTTAATTGAAGTTCATATTTATTACATTATTAAAACATTAATAAAATAAATACTATATAGTTTATCCGAAGTAGTACGCTTTTAAATTAAACACTTTAACGGTTTAAAACAGGATCACAATTATTTTAACTACGGTTCTGCAGCAGCCGTGGTCACGGGGAGACTAGAGATGGAGGGTGTCTCTGATGTCAAAGTAAAAAACTGCTACGCTAGCGCCATCTGTTCCTTCGAAGTTGGTATTTTAAAGCATCCGAAACGTTGGGCCGTAGTTAAAATATTTTTTAAATAAGTTTTACTAATATATATCGCGTTTTAAACCGTTGAAGGATTTTGTTTAAGTTAATAAAATAAGAAATTATTATAAGAAGCGACTTACATTATATTGATTGGTACGCGAAATTGATATTTTAGTTTTTATATAAATTTTTGGGCCACTATAAACATTAAGCATTACACAAAACATGATAAAAAAGTCTAATTCCGAATACTGATTGCTTGAACAATAACCCCCACATAGAAAAAAATATCCAATTCATTAATAAAATTCTAAAACAAATGATGAAAGTAAAGACTTTTTCTAGTAAAACCCTATTCCCGAGAGAAATATTGTAAGTGCCGGTAGGCCGTATACCTTTAGAAATGCGATACACGCTCTAACAGTTATTTTCCATCGGTAGTGTATAATTATTATAATATTTTGCATAACTAAAAGATATTTTTTATTGTAGTTAACAGAAGTGTTTTGTTTCTAAAGCTTATATTTGAGCAATTAATCATATTTCGATAATATTACGATGAAATTGTCGATCCTAATGTTGATATGAATCACCAGGGACCGGGCTGGGAGTACGAGACGGAGCTGCCACAGTGGGCAAACGTTGATTGGGAGGAGTCAGATAGTTCATAGTTACAACAGATGACGCCACTGGGGAGCTATCTCGCAACACTGCGCCTCGAATGATCGCAAGATATCCTATACTGTCGATATTGTATATATGTGTACGTTTACATGGCAAAGGCTTGGTACAGGCTTCTTTGTAAATATCTTGTATAACACAAGTATGGTAAAATAAGTAGTAAACCTAAGCAGTGCAGATAGTGGTAACAATACAATTTTTTACCAAAACGAGTTAATAGAGCACAATCTCTCTCCTGCAATCTCCTATTAATGACAAGGACACAAAATGGTTTGTGGGCGTCACCCTTCCATATCATATTAAATCGTTTTGGTGATTACACTGAAGTGCATAACAAAGAAATTTTGTTAACAAATTGGAAAAAACTTGTATGTACATAAATACATTGACTAGGAATATAAACGGTATTACTTACTGGAATTTAAAATGTAAAAAGCTTCTTAATTTTAGTTATAACACTTTCATCGTGTCTGTTTAATTTGTTATACTAAACACAATGTGTTGTGTGGTGTGTTGACCTTTGCCATGTAAATTGTGAGAAATGATGCGAACCTTAGTGGAGTAATGACACCGTTAATCACCTTGGCTGTTATAACTTATACAGAAGTAAGTTTTGTAATTACAATAAAATATAATTATAGGTTATTGTTTTTGTCAGATGCGTATGCGATTCGGTTTTAATCCTTACACGTTGACTACTTTCGGATATCCTTGCTTATAAACCCTTAAAATGATCGGGGTTCTTTAAGACTCGTTTGGGTTCTCGAATACTACTCAAAATATTTTAAATTTCTGATTAGTATTTGAGACGCGTTTAGCTATTTTTCAGTTCCTATCGGCCTAGAATGTTTCGTCAAGCTTACTGTAGATAATTAATGTAATTTTGTAAAATTAACAGTAATATATGAATCGCTTTAATATAGCAGGGTGTTAAAATATCATCTCACTATATTTTGATGTCGAAGCCCTTTCCTTTCCTAACCTATATCGTTTGGTATTGTTAAAAAGGTTGAGGGGAATTTTGTATTGTTATTGTGAAAATCTGGACCACTTTTCAATGTCATAGTGACGATATATGACCACTGTTTTAACAAAAATTAAATATACTATTAGGCGAGTATCGTGTAATATACATTTTTGTCACTTTGGCTTCCATAGCGTTTGAGTAGAAAATCTGTAAATAAATCCGGAATTTTATACTTTACATAAACGTTTTGAGATATCGAAGTTTAATTTCTGCATTTATACTCAGTCCTTCTACTTGTCTCGTAAAACCAAAGCGAGGAGGATCTTCTCCAAAGAGTAATTTTATGCCGAAGTCGAATCATTTTAGTCGAAGCAGCACATTTAAAGACATGGTTAAGTTTTTTTATAGGTCATTATAAGTTTTGCGTGTTATACACCGTGCACTGAACCGTCGGTCCTAAATATTTCTTTGTCTCACATCATTTTTGTAAAAAGACGCTTTTCGAGAAGACTCGACTGATTCGGTGTACGGCGCTAGTTTTAAGTCGAACCAATTTTTAGTTTAACGTGTTCTTTTGGATTGTTTTCAAACCGTAGTAATACAATCATTTATAACATTAGCAAGTATTAAAACAAAAGACAACTCTTACATGTATGTAACTTTTATAAAAAAAAATATTTTCACGAGCTTTCTATAAAATTAATTCTATGGAAATATATATTTTTCGTACTTTTAGTGTAGACGTAGCGCTTATAGTTTATTCTGCTGTGGTTCCGTTCGCGTTTTCGTAGATTTTTCGGGGACTTAAGGTTGTCGGGCCTGCTTACTCTCGACGTATCGCTGTAAATGTGCCATTAGACGCAATTTCGTTATATCGATCGGTAATCTAATTTGGGATCAACTCTTATCGGTAAGAAATTTAATGTTTATCAAAAGCAACATTGATGTGGGGTTTGAATATTTTAAAGGTTATTTTACGACGACGGCTTCTGTACGGTAGATGTAAGCGACAAACATCAGATGAACAAAAGACATTGCGGTACTGTCCGCTGATTATTAATTTGTGATTCGATGTTCAATCAAGAATCCTTCGAATAAATATTCAAAAGTGTCGTTTCATCGCTTAGTGTTAAAAATCCTCCATGAAAAGTAGCTTTTTCAAGTATCAAAAACGTCATTTGAGTATATTTATTCGAAGCCTCAATAGATTTAATGAGAAGAGCTATAGAATGGCATATCACCCCGCAAAGCCTAACCAATGTCGATGTAGTCGAATAGGCACCGCGTATTGTTGTATTTTTATAGAGTAAGTATTTGTTTATTTATAGATGAGCTGGGACACCACACGTTACTCTTGTTTTGTATCGGAAATCATCTTGGACGCTTGAGCGGTTTATTTATTTGTAAGAAATTTTCATGTGCCTTCAGAATAAAAGTTATAGTATTGATAAAATTGTGAACACTTCTGGTTTTTTATAGGATAGGGTGACATTTCGGGAATTGAGTCGTTGTGATTAAAGTATCAAATTTAGTCTAGTGCTTCGTGGAGATGCCTAATCACAATGTAAACTCGATGTAGGCACAACTTTTCCTTATGTATTGCGTTGCGTTTTTAATAATTTGTTGATGATGGCCGAATTTGTGTCATATTCATGGCGGAATGGTGACATTTTCTACGTAAAACTGAGGTATATTTCGCAGGTCTTAATAAACAAAATAATATTTTTTCTAAAACTACCCCAAATGTCAACAAAAAGATCTCCTTAACGTTTGAACAAAGATAGTACCATTATCAATAGCGCATGAGTACGCCATGAAAAATGTATGAGACTCGGCGTCGACACTTTTTACCATACTGGAAGGTGATTGAAATCAACTTGAACTTGCTTTGAAAGGATCTTGGACGGGCGATGGACAGCTGTTGAATTCAATTGAGAATATCTTTCAATTTACAATTATATTTTAAAAGATTCATCAAATCTTGGTATATTGGAATCTAATATAAAATATATCCGAATATCCAAAGCCAAAAATAGTTCGACTGCTCATCTTGTTTAGATCTTATGTGGCTGGAGTATTACATTTCATCAGAAGACCTCATGTTTGTCTGAGTGAAATTTAAATAATTTGCGAAATATATCTCAGCGAACGGCGTTTGTGTTATGATTTTTCAACGAACAATGAAAGACATTTTGTTATTTTGTATAAGTATTTGATAATTAAGAATATATAGTGTCTCCTTCTTTAGATACGTGTTGTAATGATTCATGTTTCCACATAAAATAATTAGAATAAACTTCATCATTGAAATATCTGGTTTCATTTATCTTTCTAAACTAACAAATTATCTGTTCAAACCATAAAATTTAACACTTATTACGATTAACAAATTGAAATTTTAAGATTTAAAAAGTTCTTACTATTTACTCGAATAGAACCTTTCTGTTTATTTATTAGTCTTTATATTAAGGACGATAATAGAAAACCATTGTCTTCGCTCTAAAACAAAACGAATTCTCAATTCTAACCAGGTCCTGAGATCAGCGCGTTCAAAGACACAGACTCTTCAGCTCATAATTAGTATAGATTACAAAAAAGTAGGTACAACATTTGGTTACATCCATAGCACTATCGCTAATAAGGATATATTAATCATAGTCCAAAAAGGCAATTCGCAACTAGTGTTACCATTTATATGCACATTTGCAGTTAATTGCAGTATAATTACCGTAGAATCGCTTAAAATATACTCTCCACGGAATAGCTGTAACTGCGAATGAATAATAGGCATTATCTAGACATTAAATACTGTCTGTATTTTACGCGAGTAGGACACATATTAATAAAGCACTTAAACGGTTTAAAACGCGACATTTATCAGTTAAACTTATTTGTAAATTATTTTTAACTTCGGCCCGACGTTTCGGATGCTTTGCAGCGGCCGTGATCACGGGGAGACTAAAGATGGAACATTTCTTAGATGTCGTTGGTATTGGGCGATTATTCATGAACAACGTAATTTCATGTCTCCCCGTGACCACGGGCAGCTCTTTTTAAATTATCTAGACTTTTAAATACTCGTTTGTAGTCAAAAATTTGTGTTTTCTCTGTACTAACATATGAATTGCGAATGGGCAAACAAAAACCTTCTTTAAAATATCTGCATACATTGTCTATAAAGCACATTCATGTAAGCTACCAACAGTTTATTAGTATTTTTGATTACTAAATTATTATTAATAATAATTTAGGTATACCTTCTTTCATCTTAAAGATGGACACGATAACAAGAAAAATGGTCAGTGGAGAAAAAGGTTGAGAACCTATGTCGATTGGCACATTGATCCCGCCAAACTTCTGATACAAAATGTAATGAATATTAAATAAAACTTTCAACGGAATAAAATTCGAAATATTTTTGTTAATTTATTTTATCTATGGCAGCAAAGTATTCGACGCGTCGGGCTAATTAAAATAAGTTACATTTAATGTTTTACGCAGTTTTATTTAAATGTTTAGTACTCTCATCATAAGTTATTTTTATTGTACATTACAGACACCAAGTAACTAAGTCACGCATAGAAAAATAATGATTAATTACAACGCTTCCAAAACAAGTTATCGCAAAGTTTAGCCGTGTCCTACAGTTAAGTTAGATTTTTTATTTGGCTCATTGTTCGTAAAATCAGAGAATAACATTATTCAAGCCCACGAAGCGAATGAAAACAAAAAAGGGAATTAATTCTCTAGATGAGTTCAGGTAGTCAAGTATCAACAAGGGCTCGTAAAATTTCCCGGCCTATTAAGATAAGGAAAATGTTGCCGAAGCAATTCCACGCCGAGTCTCACCGAATTTCGTATTTATTCACATTTTATTTAAAGCCAATTGTGTACTAAATTACCTATTAATGCCTTTGGACATTATGTCCTCGTTCTCTTAACTTTGATGAACAACAGCTTAATAAAATGACGAAAATTATTGTTATTACTTTTTCTCAATATTAAAATAAAACGCGAAATATA